GCTCAGATGCAGCAAGCTGAAAGTAAAAGGAGCAGGGCTGTTATGAACAGATACCTTCACAGCAGTGAAAACATGACTGACGTCACCAAAACAAAACAAGAAAATAGAAAAAAAATCCATAGATATTTCAGGGAAGATCTATTTTTACCTTTTTGCAGATTGCATTAGTTGAGGTAAGTAATGCTATGTATTATAATAAATCTAAACGTCAGTGAGTTAGTGTAAGAAAGTTTATTCAAGATGGTCTTCCCCATGCAGCTTGCTTTCCTAGCATCTGAGGGATCGGAGACTATCTCAGAATCCCTGGGGCCTCTGAAGGAATATGTGGTCATGCAAACACAGGGGGAAGAATCAGCCTGAAAAGTAAATACATGTTTAAAGAGCCATGTTTAGAGGTGGCAGTCTCTACTTCTGTATGTCCATTGGCCAGAACTGGTCCCTTGGCCACCTACATTTAAGAGAGCTGGAAATTGTAGTTTATTTGTGCATCCAGGAAAATGAAGCAGTTTGCTGAGAATCTTCTAGACAGTATCTAGAACACATATTTTTTCCTTCTCTTAAAAAAATTTAAAAATTACCTTTTCTCAAATGTTGTGCTAGTGGTGATGATTTAGGGGAAACTTGCTAATTGCAAGCTTGTTTCTTATGTTGCTTAAGTGCTTCCTAACCCATGGTGGCACTAGAACGTTACCAGCTGATTAAGAATTGCACCTGTTCACCCTTGTCGTCATAGAGCATTTCAGCACTGTTTTGGGTGGTGGTGGTGGGTGGGGGATTGCACATAAAAATGGTTTGAGTTCATGTTTCGAACACCACAGGGCAGAGTTTGAGCTGACAGATTGAGTATAGTTGAGCATTTCCACATGTGTCTGCGCACTGCATACATATGTGGTATTTTTAAAACACCAAAGAAAATATATAAAATTGTGAGCCAAAGCAGAATATTGCAGAGGGAACAGATTTTTAAAGTAAATCATCTGCAGAACCCAACACTTGACAAGTGATAGCGATCTTCTGACATTCCTTCAGTAGAGACTTAAACATTCTTAAATGTTAATTGAGACAGCCATCTATGACTGTGGTTCTTAGAATCTTTGTAGTAATTAAAAAAAAACCTTAACTCTTGAGTAACATTTTATTGATGAATCAAATCACATTATACGTCTTGTAAACTTTATAGTCTCTTTATAGTTTCCCTAGGGTTTCTCCAGGGAGATTCAGAGACATGGCTCAAGAGGAAGCTTGGGTGACAAATTCAGAGCTCTGATGAATTTTAATGTGCATTCTACTACATAATAAAACAACTTACTCTTTCAGCAAACAGATAAGGAGTAGGAGACAGGATTAGCATTATATCTATGGTCGTCTCAAGGAGGGACAAGATGCAGTGGTAAGATTAGAATTTAGATGAATTCTAAGGTGGATTGTATGGTATTTTAATATTAATTTTAGAATCCAAATTGTTTAGTGAAAGATATGCTCTAATCACTTACCAGGAGAAGTGAAGAATTTATAAAATTTTGTCTGCAGACATAGTCCAGTAAAGATTAAACTCTTATACCTGCATTCTGTTTCTGACTTTGCCACCAAGCAACTCTGTAATCTTGAGATTACCTTGACCTTTCTTTCAGGTCTTCAAACATTTGTTATTTTTCTTGAGGTGGTCCCAGATGAAGAGGAAATTTGGCAATAATTTGGTGAATTATATTGACAATAGAGAAGATGAGTTCCTGGTCTATTCTAATAAAATATACTGGAAATGCTGTCCATGTTGGTCAAGTTAGATAGTTGCTTCCAAATAGACTTTTTTTTTCCTCCACAGAGATGCAGCATGTGATGATGGCGGCTGTTTTTACCTGAGGTGGAGGAGAATTTTAAGGAAAGATGAAACAGTTCAGCTCAGAGGACTCAAACCTACTTTGGAGGACACAGAGAGAAGAGAAGTAGGAAAATAGATAAAGAACTTTTACTTCCCAATGCCATTAAAATCCAGGTAGTGACCTGTATAAAATGATCTGAGAAGGAAAATAAGTTGGTGTATCAACATGTCTCATTAGGGGCAGAAAACAGTTTTCCATGTAATGGGCTTTTCTTCCTCTCCTTCACTTAACAAGAAGGAAAGCGACTAGTAGCTTCCCTCCTGGCTTCTGTAAGTTCTGAATAGCTAAATAGCTAAGGTGAGCCTACACTAAGACATAATAGAATTAAAATAGCCGAAGTCAAAGTCAAAGTCAAAGAGAGGATTCTAAAGGTGGCAAGAGAAAAACAAGCTATAAGCTGATTTCTCTACAGAAACATTCTTGCCCAGAAGGGAGTGGCAAGATACATTTAAAGCCCTGAAAGAGAAAAATCTGCAACCTAGGATAGTCTACCCAGTAAGGTAATTATTTAGAATAGAAGGAGAAAGAAAGAATTTTTCAGACAAGCAAAAGCTTAAAAGGATACAGCAATACTAAACCTATCCTAAAATAAATATTGAAAGTTCTTCTCTAAATAGAAAAGAAGCAAGAATCTATAAAAAAGAGAAAAATCACATTTAGAAATGCAGTAACTACAATGAACAAAAGAATAAGCTTGGAAATGTAAAAGAGGACATCAAAATCATAAAATGTGGGGAGGAAGAGTAAGAAAATGTACATGTTTTTCTTTCTTTTTAGAATGTGTTTGAGCCTATATGGCTGCCAACCTAAAGCAAGTAGATATAGTAATGGGTTAACATACCTGAAAAACAGTAACCACAAATCAAAAACATGCAAGAGTCACAAAAACATGCAATAGAGTCACAAAAACCAAAAAGAAAAGAACTCAAGCATAATACATAGGTAAGGTGAAAACAGAAACCTTGAACCAGGCAGGGTGGCTCCATCCACTCACATGTGCTTGTGACTATCTTTGATGTACCAGGTGCTGTGTGCTAGGTCCTAAGGGCACAGTAAAAGCAAGGTGAAACTAACTAAAAACCTGGGGTGATGGCTTTTGTGAAATTGGATCAGTAGGATGATTTGGGAATGTAGTTAGCAGGCTAATCTGGTTGGTGGGAGGCTCCAAGGGAAAGCCACACTGAAGAAGTGGTAGTTGAGCTGAGACTTGGAGGCTGAGTAGGAGTAAGCCAGGTGAAAGGGAGGCATGTTAAGAAGAAACAGAATGTGCAAAATACCTGGGACCAAAAAAAAAAAAAAAGGACCTTGAAGAGCAAAGGGGAGAGCCTTCTGAGATAAGCTAGCCAAGAAGACCAAGGCTGATTGAGATATCAACGCCTTTTCTCCTTGACAGTGAAAAAGAAGTAGCAGTGGTGCAATTCTGGCTGTGGCTGTCGGCTAGATTTGAGATGTGCCAGTCTCAGTGCCCCCTTCATACCTTACAGCTGAACTGTGGTCATCAGATCTTCAACCCACTGATTCTTCTAGACAATTAGATTTTAAGTTATCAGCTACCCCCCCCAGCTTTATAGAGGTACAACTGACAAATCTGTAGGATGTTTAAAGCGTACAACATGATGATTTGATATACATATAGAGTATGATAGGATGTCTAAAATCGAGTTCATTATTAACACAAGGTTATCAGCTTTTAAATCTTTGGGCTAACAAACTATTAACTCTACATTTTGTTACAGGTGTTAAGTTGGTACTGGGTGCCTGAGGGAGCAGGGGCCCTGAGATTTGTAGGGCCACTTTGTGTAGCCCCTTCAGCCTTGCAGAACGTCTGCCACTGCAGGAGTCAACATGACACTGCATGCCAGCTCTGCCCTGGCCCCAAAGACAGCAACTTTTCTTCTTAATTGCTTCCCAGTGATGCTTTCTTCTTTCCAGGCCCTGGTCTGATCCAGGGAGCCCTGGTAGGGAGCCAAGGGAGTGGTGTATCCCCTTCTTCAATGAGATTCCTCCTCAGAGAATAGCATTGGGCAAAATTTCTGTTACATTTTTTTGTCTTGCCTTCTTTAATTTGACTCACTAGCTACCCAAAGTTGCCTGCTTTGATATTCTCAACATCCCCCCTCCATCCAAGAACAACCCCATTGAACAACAACAAAGAGAAGAAATGATAAAAAGTTAAAACATAGCTTGAGTAATATAATACAGAGACAATACAATTTTGGGGGTGAAATTATACTAAAGTATAAATGACTGAAATGTGCATACCTTCTCCTGTCTCCTGTGTGGAAAGTATCTTTTCTTTTGTATGTTGTTATTTTAACAAAGTTTGCATAGTAGCCTGAGGTTTTAATTAGCCATTGGATCAAAATGAAGTCTTTCTAACTGCATAAAGTATCTTAGACCACAAGGTCATTTCTCTGAAACCTTTGGCACCATACCAGCAGGCAGCCACAGACAGTGCCAAAAGGAATTAGACTCTGGTCTGATTTTCATATATTACTTGTTTTTTCCGTCTTCAAAATCTATCAACTGCTCAAACCTGCAGATACAAACAGGAACACGCTGGGGAGAAGAGTCCCAGAGGGCGCTTCAAAGATACTCTACTCCTCATCCTATGCGCTTCACCCCACTTCACACACACACTCCTCCATGTCTCCCCTTGTCGGAGACCTACCCCAAGGTGAACAGCATCCCAGTAAGTCTAAAGGCACTGCCTGCTTCCTCAGCCGCTGGATGTGCCAACCCACTCCCATCCCCAAACCCGACCCTTCCACCGGACACTCAATTGGGTCCTACAGAGGGTGAACCTGTCGCAGGAGGCGCGACTAGCATCACCTGGCCAGGTCCACGGAGCAGGGCCCTAAGCCTGGGGAGCAGAGCTGCAGCCATCACCCACCCGCAGCTTCACAGCCGGCTCTCCAGGACCCAGCTTAGGCGAGCGCAGGACCCCCTGTTTGGGGCTCTTTGTTCCCCGCCCTCCTGGTTCCTGCTCTCAAACCTTCCTCCCAGCAGCCCCCACCGGAGCACCCAACCTACAGGAAAGTTGCTCCCGAGCTGTGGAGGGGCGTCATCGCCTCCTAGCAACGCTCCTAGCAACCGGGTAACATCTGCTCCCTCTGGTCCAATGCGAGCCGAGAACAGCTGCGCGCCCGCCTCGCGTTCAGAACCCGGAGCGAGAGGCGCTTCAGAGACTGGAGGGACGGACCTGCAGCAGCCAGGGCTGCCCGCGAGCTGCAGTTGCCGCTGCTGCCGCCGTCGCGCTGCTGCCGCCGCCGTTGCTGTCAGCACCCTCTGAAGAGTGACAGCACCGCAAAAGCGGGAGGGAACACAGAACCCCGCGCCTTTATGAAACAGGTGGATGCGCCCATCTCCTGGTGAGTGGACCCAGCTCGCAAGGTACGTCCGGACTCATCCAGGCAGGTGCCCTCTTTTGAGACTCAGATGAGACTCGTTTCATTGAAGGTGTGGATAGGGACGTGTTTGGGGATCCCCACTGAATAACCTGATTTGATTTTTTTTTTTTTAATCTTGTGGTCTTGAGGATTCCTCTGCCTGTCACTGCTAGGTTTGTGTTGGGAAGTTTTCGGTCCTCCCTGTTTTCCCTTTGACTTCGCAGCCTGTGTGCAGCTAGGAGGGCTGGAAGCAGTGAGCTCCCATAGAAAGCTTGCCGTTAAGGCAAAAATGACAACAGTGTCGTCTCGACTAATTGAATCAACACCTATGGAGAACTACATTCTTTTCAGGTCCTGCTCTGGAAAAGGTCCATTTGGCCAGGAGCAGCCAGTTCACTGTTACTCAATCTCCTGAAAAGTAACCATAGTAACTCACCTCTCTTTTAATGGGATCCTCCTCATTGGCTGCCTATCTTCGTTTGGAAGCTCATCTCTCTAAATATAGAAGATGATGAGATCTGTAAGCATACATTCCATGTAGAAAAGGTGCAGTTAAACACGGCTCTTTAAAGAAAAACTGTCTTCAAAGAAAAAGTACCATTTGGCTATTTCAAATCTTGTGAGAAATAGTGTATATTCCAGTGAATTATTGAGTTAGTCTGTTTTGAGTTAACTGCTGGATTGTTACTTTAGAGAGAATGTTTCTTGATATAATACAAAATCTGGTACTTAGAAACAAATTAAGTATATTTTCTCTGGTTTAAAAAAAAAACCTACTGATCTCACCAAAATAATCTCCCAGTAAATGGTTGGTGAGATCTATTATTCACTTATTTCCACATTTCTTAGGATACTTAAAATTCCTATATTTACAATTAAATCTGAAGAACATTAAAATAATTGTGTGTGTTTGAAGGTTTATCTATTTATCTACTGGGTCCAGATCAATCCCACCTCAAACATCTTAGTGTCTTCCCACTGCATGCTTTCCCCTGACTTGATAACCAGTTCAAGTCAGTGCAGTTGTGACTCTTCTAATGTTACTTGTGTCTGTCTCCTTGTTTCAAAATCTCAGGTAGCCATTCATGAGCCTGAGGCTGTGAGAAATGCTCGCTGTGCAAAGGGGAACTCTCACCAGATTTTCTGAAGCTGTCCTAGAAATACACTTTTCAGATTGATTCAGCATTACCAGGTAATCACTAACTTAAAAGAAATCACTGTTTAAATATGTATCCAGAGAAATAAATGCTAATGTAGCATTGCCATAACTTACAAGATCAATATAAGAGGTTGCTTATATAGAGGGTTGCTGGGTAGAAGTCAATAGAGATTTTCTGTAGAAAGGACATTTGTGGGCTGGCAGATTTTTCTCTCTAAGACCCAAGTGAATAGAGCGGGACAAGTTAGGTAGCCTGGCTTGAGGGAAAATATTAAGCAGAAACCCTATGAGCACACGGGTGCATGTGTGAAATGAAGGCAATGCAGAGAGCTCCCCAAGTTGCAGGAAGAAATTGTGGTGACTTTTAAAATTTAACTTGTATTGAGGTCATAGTGATAGAAACCCATGAGTGGTAAGCATTTTAAACTCAGTTTTCAAGCTATAATACAGTCTTTTAATGTGTGTTCAGCCCTCCAGGGTTGTATAACTTTCACATGTACTGAGCTATCAGTGTCCAGTTCCTAAAAGTAACCAGCCTGGCAAATTACAATCAAACTCAAGAAAATATACCATGTCATATTTCTTCCTTTCCCTTCCCTTCCCTCTCTTTGTAAAAATAAATAATTGAACAACTTTACTTAGAAATCTATTTGAAAATGTATTCTGGTCTAGTTTATTTTTATAGTTTTTATAGATATCATGGGACTTTAAAGTTGCTGATCTCCATAGTCACTCACTGAAATATCTATAGCTTAATCATTTCAAGCATTAAAGATGACTGACTGACACAACATTGTAAATTGATGCTTCAATTAAAAAATAAATGAATAAAATTTAAAAATAAATAAAAATTTAAAAAATAAAGCGATGCCCTCATAGAGCTTATTCGTTGTAAAATTAAATACTTCCTTGTCTCATCTGTTAAAAAAAAAAACTAAAATTGGAAAGAAGACTAAAAACAAAAGATGACTATCTGAACCATCAAAATATTATTTTCACTAGTCTTTAATACCACCCACCCTTTTTCCTTACTCCGTCATAATTACTGCATTTTACGGTGAGAAACAAATCCAAAGAGACCAGTAAGATTAACTGTCGCCTGTCCTGAGATGCATGCAGAGCTCTAGCCATGCTATCAATCTGAGGAAAGTTTGAGTAAAGCAGCCACAAGTATTGGCTCATGTATATGCATTGGTCTTGTGC